TCCGCCAGGCACTGACCCAGGTTTCTTTTTAAATACTCCGAGTCCATCCGTATGTTTTCCTGTCTGAATAGCGAAAAACATCATTATATTAACAACTAAAGTGAAAAACGCATGTATCACTTTTAATAAACAGCAAGTAGCGTCGGAACAGGAAGTTTCCCAGCAAATAAAACATTTCGGTCGTTTTTGTTTTTGTTTTTTTCTGTTAGCGGTTAGACTAAGCGTTTTTCTCTTCTGTTTTATAAATGTTAGTTTCACACAGTAACTAAAAAACGACAGGAAGACAAACAAACCTGCTTCTTCCTGAAAGTCCGTGTGTAGTGGTTAGGGCTCCATGGTAACGGTGTCACATTATTAATCTCCCCCTCAGTGTTTTGAATTAGCCAACTTCTGACTGCTACTGCTCTATACACCACAAGTGTATTCTCCCAGTACCTATAACTGCAGCTTATGCAGTGGAGAACGGTGTGTTATGATTTATGAGTTAATCATCATTTGAACATTTAACACATTTTAACAGCCGCTAAATGACTGTGATTTTTTACTTAATAATAAATAGTTTACACAACAAACCACGTCACGAAACGTGTATCTGGAATTGTAGGAAATCTGTAAATGTACCTGTCTCTAAGGTACCACGAGCCAACTTCTGTAGTTTAAATGTGTTATAGGCTATAAATAAAAATATGTATGTGACAGTCAACACAAAATGCTTTAGACATTTTTCATAGTGCTTGTTTGAGGTGTTTTTTTTTCTTTTCTTTTTAATTTTCTAAAAATAATTTATTTAATACGGTGGGCTGACCTCAGAAACTGAGTATCGATCTTACACGAGTATGGATCTGATAACAATACCAGAACTGGCATCAATATAATCGATATCAATACTCTGTTTTTTTCATCGTTTCTTTTATTTGCTGTAAAAGAATTAAGTAAATATCTGCAGCTACAGTTTTACTTCATAAAGAAAATGTATAATACATAAGGATAGGTACAAAAATAGAGAAACATAGAGTTGTGTGAAAAAGTATTTGCCTGCCTTCTTTTCTTTTCTTGTACATTTGCCACATTTACATGTTTCAGATCCTTAAATGATTAAACTAAAATATATTGAAGAGTTATGACTTTCCTGTCACTGTTCACTGTAATCCTGTAATTTGCAATTAGAAAACACTTTGGTGACTAAACTCAATTATTCATAAATAACAATTCAAAAGAAAAAAATTTAAATATCAAGATGAAGCCATATACATCAAGAAACATGAAATGTCCTGAAAACATTATATATAACTGTGACATTAACGAGCATTTAATAAGTACATTATATTTCTGATAATGTGCAGCAAACTAAAACTTAGCTACTTAGATGTATATCTGCACATTTCAGACATTGAAATTTGAGCTGCAGTTGCAGTTGCAATGCATAGATAAATGCAATTGCATTTATCTATGCATTTCACTCAGACAAAATACAGACAAACATTTTGAATTCTGTATGGTGATCTAAGAATGTGACTCAGGTACCTTTATGATAATTCAAATGGCTTCTCAGACCAGTAACATGAAGTAACATTGCAAGAAGAGAGAAGTCAGACCTCTCTCTCTTGGCTGAAGAGCTCCCTCTGAACACCAGACCCAGTGCAGAGGACTGAACATGAGAGGCTTTTTTTTTTAAACATATAATGCTATATATGTAAAGGTTTCCAGGAGTTTAATTTAGTGAATGCTTTATTTAAAAGCATTCTTGTTTTAGTGACTCTGATCATAATGTTTCATGGAATAACCCTGCTGGTTCCTATTTTGGTACAAACAGCTTTGCCTTTAATAATTATTTAAATAAAGACACTTCCCATTTTGCAACCATAATAAAACGCTTTTGTCTGCAACGCACAGCTGTGCAAGGCAGCAAAGCCACTTTGTGAGTTTCGAGAAATGAAATCTGCAGAGAAATGAAACTATAGCTGTTGTGGTATGTGGGCTTTGTTTTTTTTTTTTTTTTTTTTTGCTTCCTTAGTTTATAGAGTTTAGGTTTATCCTAAAAGAATAATGGTTGTGTTTTTGTGATTTTTTTTGTTTTTTTTGTTTCTGCATTACTTTTCTTATTGCTCCTGTTATTGCTGATTTGGTCACTTCCAAACTAAACAAAATTAAAATACTAAATTTCAGGGTTCTAAGTAAAGTGTTTGTAAAGTAACACACAGGGGCAGTGTTACCTCACAGCAGAAAGGTTGGATCTGTATGTGAACTGAATGGTTGCAGCGATAGAAATCATGTTCAGTTATGCTTCTCAGTCAAACGGCCATGGTTTTAATTTGTATAGAATATAAAGGATTTCTGTCCTTTAAATTTCCCTTCTGTTTGTTTTAGTTTTATTTTGCAAAATGGGTTTGTGTATTTCAGTTTCATTGTTAAAAATGTTAGCTTTTCTTATAGGAAACCCACTATAGTGGGTTTTTGGTACCATGCAGTGGTTGTCAGGAGGAAAGTATTAAGAAAATCAAAGGAGATATTATAAATCCAAACCACCACAATTTGAAGTTCACTGTTGCTCAGTGTTTGAGAAAGTTCAGTTCACTCTAATTTTTAGGATCTTTTATTGCATGGGGGGAAATAGATGGTAATTTTGCAGCACACACAGGGGGTGCAATGCTGCCTGAAGATGACTCCATCATTAACTGGATCTACCAATCTCATACCCAAGGTGTCAATTAATACTAAGTTATGTTTAGTATGTAACCCAGACAAAACCGTTTTATCATCTAAACTTAGCCAGGTAATTGTTATAGACTAAACCTTACTAGTGAGTGGAAGTAAAACTTAAATGGAAAGGGGAAAAAATGAGTACAAAACATAAAACTCCCAACAGGACATGACGCAGGGCCACCTGGCTGTTCACTCTGGAAAGTGTCCCCTGTAGACTCAGTTTTAATGAACATGCCATAAAATTGCTGGACTGTCTCCATTCAACCTCAAGTCCAAGTCATGCTGGCCAGACATGAGATATGAGATGTTTTGTCACATTTGGAATATGAGGTGTTGTTATCTGGGTCATAAAGTATCCTGCTCATTTCACCACAAACCAAAAATAATACTGTGAAATATTCATGGTAATTATTCTTTTTTAAAATGTGTACTTCTTCATTTTTTCATTTATTAGTAGTCAAGGATTCAAGGCCTTAAGTTGTATAATTGACAAACAAAATACTACCTGAATCACTGATCAAACTTTTAAGCCAGATCTATTTAATCATTTAGGATTATTTTATTTTATATGCTGCTCACTGTGTTCTGAAACTGAGACAGTAAGCTGGCCTGAGGGAGAGGAGAAGGTGGGAAATTTGTAGCAGGCTCCATTTCCAAGAAACCAATGACACCCAGTTAACATTTGTAATCGCAGGTATCATTTTCCTTGTATAATCATACTACACACCTTTCAGCCAAATATAGCCTTCACATCGACATGAGGGACTTTCACAATCAGGCCCTCTGACTGCATATGCGGATGATTTTTAAACCAAGTGTGTTGTTTGTATAATGTGACCCTCCATAAATTTGATAAGAGGTGACATCCTCGTATTAATATTATTGTCATTAAACTGCAGATGCAGGTTTAATTTGAGTCATAGATGTGGGGGAAGCACATTTAGTAAACATTTGATACTTTTCATACATAAATTTTTAACATCAGCATAATACACATTTTAATTTTTTTTAAAAAGAAAAACACTAAAATCGGTGGTAGTCCATAGTAAGTCTTTTACTTCTTTCCTGTCTTTTATTGGGGTGCAAAGACATGTGTTTTAGATACTTAGGTGGGAACCTTAAATCTATAAGTATGTTTTATTCGTTCAAATATTCTTTCAAACATTAAATTGGGGCCATCGAGTGGGTCCATTCACTGAATGTCTTTAAAAAGTGTGTTTTGGAGAGAAGTTGGACATACAGAATGGTAAACCAAACTGCCAATTTACTCAGAGCAGCAGTTTGATTTATAACCCTCGTGCTTCTTTGTAATGGCAGTAAATTATCAAAAGTGGTCAAAACTGATGCACATTGTTAAATACCGAACTGTTGACATCAGAATGGCCTGATAACAAGGGGAAGGTGTCCCACTATGAGTTCACACAGGAGTTTCATCCATTATCCTCACATCCCACTTATTGATGCAATATATTTCTATTGGCTCCAGTCTGTAAGGATGGTATCAGCCACACAGCTGACATATTAGCTCACAGTGGAAACAGTTATTGTAAGAGAAATTTTTAATATAGATGTTTATTATTTAGGCTCATAAACATCTGGAAAAAAAAATTAATCCAGATTTTCAAACTGTACATTTGTTTTTCTCGTGTACGAACCTGCAAAGTATGCTCAAGTTTATTTCTGAAATCAGATAAATGGATTACAAACACACAAGAATACTGAAATACAATAAGTTTAACACCTCTGATTTAAATATTTTATTGGTGAACAGAGCTGAGATTTTAAGGTTTTTTTTTTCTTTTCTTTTCTTTTCATTAAATTCAACCAAACACCTGCAGTCCTGTTTTCAGGCTATGTTTAACTCCTCTGTGTTTATATCAGCACTCTCCGAAGTGCTGATGCAAACGTATTATGTCACCAGAAGGTCTTAATGTGCAGATTTTTCACATTCTGGCAAAACCCAAAACTACTTCAGCTCTCAGTTCCTTATTTTTATAATGCTCAACAGATTATGCTCCAAAACTTTTAAGTGAGAGGAATCATGCGCTCATGGGTCCGTGCTGGGGAGAAGAAACCGTCGTGCGCTCCGTTCATCAGCGCTGCCGCGGTTCTTTTCTTCTCTCTGCCACAAAATAATAGTAATCGAGTCTCACTCTGGGAAATGCGCTCAGGAGCGACCAGCGGTGTGGGAACGGGACGTGATTCCGGTACCGAAGTGTCAAAGGTCTGATTTTACCTGCAGCGACTCCTCCGGTTTCACTGCAGGACGCCACACTGCGCCAGCAACAGCCGCCTTGCAGCCCCGCGCTGGAAGGAGAAGAATTGCGTTCTCAGTGTAAGACTTGAAAGAAGACACTGTTTTATTTTTCTATTTTCTTGGATTCTGTGGAAATATTTCTGTTCCCGTGCAAGGTAACGCACCACCTGTATTCTGTTGCCTTCCATGAGCCTGGAGGTGGCTCCTGCATTAAGTTAAGACTCGGAAAAAGTTGCCTGTCTGGCTGCAGTTTCGGGAGGGGTTTGATGATTATTTGGCGCTGTTTGGTGTCTTCATTGGTTGTGAGTTTGCTATATTTGCTCCCTTACTTGAAATTAAACGGACAAGTTTGGTATCTTCCAGATTTTAAGATGAGGGCAGTTAAGCTATTCTTTAGAATCACTTGATTTTATGCTCTTCTTATTTGGACTGGGGTGAAACCTTCACAGTTTTCTGTGGCTGGGTACTGCGTACTTCCGCGCCAATCAAAAAAATAAATAAATGAAAAGCTTTTTGATAAGAGAGGCTTTGGATTTGTTCCAGAAATACACTGTAATTGAGCCAGACAGATTTATGGCTTCACAAAAGCTTATTAAATATGTTTATGAGGAAGCATGTGGTTGTTTGTGTGCATACATAAGCTGTGACAAATTATTTCATTGCAAATGTTATGCAATAGTAACGCAGGGAAAGCGTATGTGAACATCACAACAGGGCCGTTTCTACACCTGCGAGGTGAAACTCCCATGTGGCACGTAGCTGTAATGTCCAGTGTGGACACTGCAACCTTCTCAAAATCCCCACTACGCTTCCTCTTGCAGAGACAGAGTTGTATTTTTAGCTCATGTCTTCATAGCAGATGGGCAAGATCCTGTGATGCTGTGGATGCTCCTACCCAGCCGTTTCCATTAATCCATGCTGCCAAAATCAGAGGTCCAGGACTATGCATACAGCCTGGCTCCATGCAGGCAAAGCGGCGTCAAAAACCCGGAGGCTGGTGTTCCTGTTAGAGGCTGCCAACAATGCACCTGCAGATCTTATGTAACAGCTGGACTTACACAGTGGAGGCCAAGCAGTAGGATCAGTGCAACTTCCAACATGGGTTGGGACCTCAGGGGGCATTTTTAAACATTTTTAAATTTTATTTTCACAATTTTAGTTCATATTTAAATTTAAAAATACAAAGTTGTAGTTTCTGTTCTGCATTCTTCCCTAACCTTCTTACTTGTGACCTGACATATCTGGTGTAAATACATATGTGTGTTTTTTCATATGCACAAAATGGAAATTTTATGGAGAGATCTGTTGGCTTCTTCTCCAGGAGTGTGTTTGTGTGTCTTGTATCAGATGTTCTTGGATGCAGAAGGTGTCGGTTTTGAGTTACTTTCACCAAGTAAGACCATGTGACTGCCTGGCCGGGGCTCTGTATTTTCCACAGTATTCAAAAGGTGAAATAAGGTTAAAGATAAGTAAAGATTTTTTCTAAAAAACATGATCTAATTTATTCAGCTACCTGATGCAGTGTATTTGTCTTTAAAATATTGTTTGTCTTTGAAATATTATTTAGTGAGATGGTTCAAACATTGGCAGCCCCTCATATAGATGTCTGTTTTTTAAGGTCTCTGTTGGTGTTATGGTTATGATAATAGCTCCCCCTGGTCCCACACAAGCTGGATGGAATATTCTCCATATCACTTCCACATGTAATCTACTCAGATTTCCGCTCACTGAGTGCAAAGGCCAAATGGGTCAGTTTGAGACCACAGAAATCTGTTTAGAAAGTTGTATCAGACCAGAGGACAATTTTACAGGAAGAGAGCTTTCATACCACCACCAATGCTGAGAATTCCCTCTTCACAATGAATTGCGCCTCTATCTCTGGATTTTTTTGTGATATTTCCTTTGTGGCGTCAAAATGATGTCTCACAGTTTTTCTTATTTCATTTTCATGTGTTGCTGTAAGGTGAGGTGATATGAAATGTCTAAATTTGCCTTATCACCTTATGATAAAAAAAAAAAATCCATCAGAAAGTTTCTATATCCACAATCAGATAGAATCATGCAGTGCCATCAATAAGATTTTGAGTAATCCTGCGTGACAAAAATAAATAAATTAATACATACAAAAATAAAATACACAAACGAATCATCCGTAATGATGGAAATAACTGTAACTCTTTTTAAAACAAGCTTGCTTCAGTGGTGATCTCCTGCTGTCACAGCTGCGATGGCAGGCTGTGTGGAGTGTGGAAATTAGGACCCAAGATGCAGGCACAGCCTCTGATGTGAGTGAGCATTATTTTGACAGTGACGGTACAAATAGCAGTGATGATGGCAAGTGCAGAACCTAAACTGGAAAAAACTAACAAAAGCAAACTTGAACCCTTTAAATGGCAACACATGGAGACAGGGCAAAACACAAACAAACCATCAAAAAGCAGGTAAAAACACAGGGCTTATATACACACAGAAACAATCAGGGAATGAGAAAAAGGAGGGAGAAACAGCTGGGGTAATTAGACAAGAGCACAGAGAACACTAGACACTGGGAATAATCACAAACAACCCAAAATAAACAAAACCACAGAATATTAATCAACTTAAAACATAAACACGGAATCCACAGACTCCAGACCGTGACATCTGCGTTAGCTCTAAGGCTGACTTTCCCCACTTGAAATCTCATATTCTATTAGTATCATGATGTTTTGAAGTCGTCACCCTCCAGGAGCTCAAACATTTATGTAAGCAGTCGCTGTAGTCAGCCAGAAGCACATTATTAGGCAGTTTTCTTTAATGAAAGTCTGGATTAAAAATCTATAGCTATTCAAGATCTCTGTCTAAATAAATAAATGAATCTGGGTAAATTCCCAGATGATTAAATATGCAACTATTTTGCTGGTAATAACTGAAATGAGTAAAGAAAATGAACAGCCTATTTATGCAAAATAATTCATAACTTTATTGGGGGGTTATATTGGTTGGGTCTGATTATTATTTTTTTTTTTTTTTGGGGGGGGGGGTCCATAACCCCCCTACACCCCCTGGAAATTACGCCCCTGCTATGATTTGTCTGTTGGTATCCATGCACTTTGGTTTGGTTTGAGCATTGCGAGAGCCACTTTAGATGTGGTATTTGGGCCAATTTGCACTTGTTTCTGCCTTTTCTACATCAACTTGTATTGGAAATAACTTCTTGTAAAGGAAAAGTAAAAATCTTGGTACCGGTTGATGATTACAAATATAAACTTATTTAATGCTACAGTCACACAAGGGAAAATAGACTGTAGACCTTAGCATGGCTAAAAGTACTGTGACCATGTGCATTGAACTTGTGATCTAATTTCATCTGAAAGAGTTACTTTGTAGACAGGGACCAGATTTGATACCACTCTCGTCTATGTAGCCAGTGCATTAACCAGGTGGCAATCAGTTAAGTCTACCATTGCAAAGAGATGCAGTGCAGACAAGTTGTGCTCATTGGCACAGACTGACTAAGATTCATTGAGCTATATGTTGGCAAGCTGTCTTTACAAATTAGATGGCAGTTATTTGCCAATCTGCCCAGAGTGATTGCATTTAGTCCAAGTCGAGTTGTGATTGTTTGGAAACAGGCTGGCTTCCAGTAAGCAACCTGTGATTGAAAGAAGTCACCTAGAGGTTGAGGGTGTAGCATGCTTAGACCCATTACTGAAGAATAAAGACTGAACAATATAGGAGGCATTTATCTCTGAGTAATGCTGTTGCACTTTTTCCCCTTTGTAGTGCTTCTTAAACATTTCTATACCTTGCATCCCCCCTGAAATCTATGCCTATGGTAGTAGCATACAGTAACACCACAGGGAGAAGCAACAGGTGCAGTTTCTGTTAGTGTGGCTTCCTGTGAGAGTATGAAATATATGGGTAATTGGTGGATGACAATGTGAGAGCAAACTACAGTGTTGTAAGTTGACCCCGTGAGAAAAAAGGGAACAGGAGGATGGCAAATGCCAAAGGATGTGTGAATAAAGGTCCTTGTTTGCTCTGTGGTGCTGTCATTTATAATTACACAGCACTCAATTATGTGCATTGAAGGGACTGAGATGTCTGCTGTGTGACCACAAGATTTGTCTTTGAACTCCAAGCTGCTGTCATGCTTGTTTGATGTGACATTTTTTTCCCCTCAAGATCTCATTGCTCTTCTGATTATGTTAGCAACTTGAGGATTTGGTGTTTGATTAACCCTCTCAAGGCAGGCATTGCCGATTTGGAAGTTAAAAACTAACAACCTGATTACCCCACATACATATTTTATGAGTTTTTTTTACTCAGAAGTACCACTGCAGGACTTGGTTGTGCATTAGCAACAAAAGGTTTAATTTGAGCCTGAGAGGGTTAATGGTGGTTAAATGAAATGTATTTACTGTCTCTGAGTATACAGCACACTCTGTATCACCATCTGAACTCAACCTGCCCTTGTGATAAAAGCCAAAAGCCAGCTGAGTTGGTTTCCAGAGGCGAATATTGGCAATTGCATTCCCCAGCCATATAATGTAACGAAGAGGTATCTACATTACCCCGTCTATATCCTCAGCTGGAATGTCTCAGGTCACACGGTGTCCACTGACATGCAAGGTGATATATATATTACTGTCGGGGAAGGCTTCTGAAATCCGACATTCCCTCCTCTGTTTCCAACTGTGTCTGACAGCATGGAGGCATGGCCGTGATGATGTGTCTTAAGTTTTACTCTCAAGATAAAACCAGTGGAGGAAAGGACCTTTCAAGAACTATACTTAATGAAATAATAAAGAACTTATAAAGTATGATAAATATTAATGCAACTATATTTTAAAGGCGAGATTGTACTTTATATTCTATTGGATTAATTTTATTTCTTTCTTCTTCTTCTTCCTTTTTTTATTTTTTTTATTTTTTACAAATACCATACTAGGTTTTTACTCTGGTCAATTTTAATAGCTAATACTTTCAAGAATGCATTTCAATAAATCCCCTTTTACTCTCCACTCTTTTTTTTTTTTTTTTTTTTTTGCCTGTCCCGTTTGGCTCTTTTGCCATCAGAATTGTTGTCTAAAGGCAAAGAAAGATGCCCAACGGATTTACTTTACCAAATTGACCATCCCAGCCTTGCCGTAATGGTCCATTTGATTCACCT